TCCAGGTTTCCTACCAGTGATCAGTAAGAAAAAAGAGTGTGTTTGATTACCACCAGTCCCTGAATCCAATGTTCAGTCACCAGTGCCTGGCAGGTAGAAAGCAAAATAAAAACCACAGAAAAGAAAGGAGTCTGGGTGGCATGCTTAGGCTGTTGACTCAGATGCTTCTCTGAATAGCATTCCTGCAGCTTCTCTATTCCAGTTTGTTTCAATACTTTGGAGGGAAAAAATCTGTAATCATCACTACATCAGGCCTTCCTTCTGTCTGTCAATTTTAGAAACAAACCTGTCCATCCATCCATCCATCCATCGATTTATCTGTCTGTCCAGGCACAGTTGGTAAGTTGCATTTCAGCAAAAGGAAAAATGGGTAGGTGATAACTGTTGGATTGAGTAAAGGATATGTGTCTTTCTGTCCATTTCTGGCCAGCATGTGTCTGTGGATGCCAGAGTCTTTGAGGAAAAGTGAGCAGATGTGTCCCTGTTTGCTGGCAGATGAGTTAAGTGGAGATTAAGTTCTGGGATGCTCTAAAGTTATAAAAATTGTGTAGACAGGACTGGACTGGGTGTTACCTTACCTTTAAAGGCAAATAAGATAGATTTGCATTCTGTTCAAGAGGATTTTCTTAAACCCGAGATATTTGTGTAGCTAATGACCTGGTAGAAGTTACTCCTTTCCTCAGCTATGGCTGTATGATGACATCATTGCCTCATGGAGCCATGATTGAGGGCAGATGTCTTTTTTGCCTAGACCAATCAGTTGTCGTATGCTAATTACTTGGTCCTTCTAAGGAGGGTCTTGGTCTTTCTTGGCAGAACTTTGCCATTTCTTCAAACTGTGCTGCCTCTGCTGGTGGGTAGCATGGAGCTGGCCACCATCCACCAGGGCAGTTTAAGCGTCTGATTAGCCTGGTTGCTGTGAGGACATTCTCTTACCACCGCCTAGGAGCCCAGTCTCTCTCTGTTTTGTTTCAGTTTCTCCTATTTTGATCCTTTTGTGTGATTTAGATGACTTATCTCTGCATTCAAATGTCAGCTAAATGTCCCAGGTAAATAAATTAACAGTAGCCTTCAAATTAGGTCATTTTGGGCTGTGGGCAGCAGTAGTTTGAAGAAGCAGGAATGGAAGAAAGGAAAGAACAAAGAAACATGCTAAAATTGGTATACAGTAAACCCTCAATTTAATGGACTTCGGATTTAATGGACTTCAGATTTAATGGATACAATTTCCAGTCTGTATGTTAATTTAAAAATGATTTTAACCAAGACTTGCTTATAATTAAATTAACAGGGTTTCTTTTGTTATCAATTCACTTATTTTTAACAAAATTTAGCAAATAGACCGTATGTTGGAAAAACCACTGTAGTAATTTTGCTGCCATAAATATTACATATTTACAAGTATAGTCTACATCGTTAAATCCAAGTCACCGCTCGTAAACAATGTTGGGCGAATGATTAGCACCTGCTCACCCCGCATCGCACAAGGTGACTGGTTCTGAGAGAGGACTTTCTGCAGCAGTTTTAAGGTGTGCCGGGTGATGTTCCCACGCCCTGGCCCTGAGCATTTTTGTTTACTCACGGTGACTGGTGAATGCATGCATTTACTACACCTACTCAGTATTACATTTAAAATTACAGTAATGCATATAGAAGACTGTTCTGTGAAATTAAATTGTTCATGCATATTTAATTTTTATTACACAAACCTGTACATGAGTAAAAACAGGTAAACTAATTTGTCAAATTTTTAACATCACTTTCAGAAAACCTACTTTATTATATAATGGGCTTTCAGCTTTAATGGAACACCCCTTGCTCGAATTAGTTCATTATATTGAAGTTTTGCTGTATTGTGTGTGCCAGGCACTGGACATTCTTAATTCTCAGGCAACCTTCAGGAGGTGGTATTATCTCTATTTTGCAGATGAAAAAAAAATGAGGCTGAGTTGAATGCTGGAGTGCCAAAGCCTCTTTCCACTACACATACTATGGCTTAAATGTCTGGGGATGAAGATGGGCGGCCGGTCGGGAGACAGGAAGGAGGTATGCGCAGTGGGCAGGGCCCAGAGGAGCTGTGAGGGCCTAAACCAGCCGGGACTTTGCAGGATCTTTTGAGCTCTCAGGCTTAGAAGCCACCCTAGTCTCCTGGGCTGGAATATAGGCTCTCTGTCTTGATCTCATTTTAGACAAGATATCCTGGTTGAAAATAGAGCTGTTTTCTTTCTGAACAACTGAAAAAGATTATTTAACTAGCAAGATAGACTTGAAGAATAAGGTGTGGCTGTATAAACTGAGGAAGCTTTTGGATATGTGTTAAAAGACTTGAGCCAGACTCTGAAGGAAGGCTGGTGAGGCTTTGACTCAGTGGGTCTCAGGAAGAGGGGCATGGTCGGTGGTAGCGCAGGTTTGGGGTGGAAGTGTAGGGAGGTTCTTGAGCAAGTGCTAAGGGCAGACTGCAATGGTTGGTTGTGATAAGAGGGGCCTCCCCTGACCTGGGCTTTAGGGAAGCTGCCAGCCTTCACTCTAGGTGAGCCGTGCTGGAGGAGCCCTGCTGGAGGGACGGACTCCCATCTGTCTCTGAATGGCTGTGTGAGTCTCTGCTGAGCTGGTCTGCTCGTCTGTGCTACAAACCACTTCACCAGCTCCTTTGCCAATGAATGCCAACTGGGCTTCTGCTGGGGCTCAGTGGGTGTGGGAATGGATGCAGAATCCTCGTTAGGGGAAGATATTCTTCCCTCACCCCAAGTTGTCAGTATCCTTGGCAACTGGCCTTTTCTCTGATTACCTGCCATTTCCTGGAGGGGAGCAAGAGGAAGGAACTTTCTTTTAAACCCAGGTTGTAGGAGGTCTAGAGCAGGGACCTGTGTTCAAGACGACTGAGTGCCTGCCAGTGTAGGGGCCAATTAGCAAAGCTCTCCCCCCAGTCACCACTGCCTGCCCTGCCCTCGATTTGGAGAATGCATACGTAGGTCATTCCCACGGCACAAACAGAAACGGAAGCCCAGAGACCTCCAAACCACCTAGCTTGTTTGTGGCACATTTTGTGGCTTCCAATTAGTGAGTTTTTAACCACAGAGAAGAAATAACATTCTTCTACTGTTTTTAAGTTAACAGAAGCACTTTCTTAGGGATGGGATCTAGAAATTTCCTTTTTACAGATGAGGAAATGGAGGCTTAGACAAAATAACTTGCCCCAAATTATCCAGCTGGTAAGTGGCCAGGCCCTCCCATTGGGATTGCTCTGTGCCAATACTGTGGTGTGCATTACTGGTCCAGACTGCAGCCTGTCCTGATTCCCAAGACCCCTTGGCAAGTCTCCTCTCCCAGGATGTATTACTTTACCTCTCTTGGTTTAAAATAAAACAAGCAGAAGCCAACTCACTTCTTGCCTCCGCCACCCCTTGTGGGAGAAAAAAGAATCCAGACGCCAGGCTCAACTATGTGTTTGCTCCTGGACTGGTCGGTCTCAGGCCAAGCAGCCTGTGTGGGGTGTTTTGTTTTGTTTTGTTTTGTTGGTGCCAGCCGCACAGTTGGGTCTACTTCCACCGATGGCCTTTTTGTGCTGTAACTGAACCCCCCTGTAGGAAAGTGCAAACCAGCACCTGCCATGGGGAGCCCAGGCTTGGACGGCAGAGGGACGGCTGCTGGAGTAGACGTGTGCTTTCTTGTTTTGGCTTCCTCCGCGATTCCGGGGGCTGACATTTGCTCCTGGCTAGGTTTTTCTTATGTGCGTGCACTAACCCAACGGGCCACCTTCACAGGAACATGCTTCCCAAGTGCTCTGATGCTGGGCTCTCTTTGGACCCTTCCATCATAGAGTGTCAGAAATTGCTCCACTTGCCTCTATCCTTCATGCCCGTGGAGGCTACCGGAACACAGTGTCCGATGAACTCAGGACGGCTGATGGAGCCTTGGGAGCAGGTGTGCTGAGAAGCACACTCCATGTTACAGAGTGTTTAAGCAAGAAGCCAACTGTTTGGCTGGTACAGAGGAATTTTTCCTACGGAATGTCAGTGTGGACAGAGCGCTGATGTGACTCTTGACATTGACAAGATCACTTCTCTCCTCTTGGGCAGGTGGATTTATTGGGAAACATTCACTGTCACCTGGTACTGTGTACCAGGCTCTCTTGTGGGGGAAAGGGAACAGAGAAAATATCAAGATTTTCAGTTTAGACAACTGAGTAGAAGGTGAGAGCACAGGATGGGGAACGGTGTGCAGGGCTCCCACTCAGTCCTGGAGAGGAGCCAGGCCTGTGGAGAGACTGACACGCAGCGAGAGTCAGAGGAGCTCTGTAACGTGGTGAGATTTCAAGACAGGCATGGCCTTCTGGGGACAGCATGAAGGTCCTTGTCAACACGTTAAGCGCCCAGCCTGTTTTGTCTTCCGGACGGAAAGTACAGTGTCACTCACCGGTGACTGGCTGGGCGCTTAATGTGTTCATGGAAGCCACCTGGTTAGAAGGGTTAAGTAGCAGGTGGGATGTATAGAGTAGGGCCACTTGGTGAAAGGCCCTGGCTATGCCCTTCAGTGATTACCATCTTCCAAAATGGTGAGAGTTCTGGAGGGTCGATTTGGAAGGATTAGAGGCAGAAGGCAGAGGCTGTTGCAGATGCCCAGGTGAGGGATGGAGGAGGCTGACTGAGGGCCACACAGGGGAGCAGAGGCAGAAATGGTGTCTCTCCATAGGCCAGGTCCTCTCATGGACCGAGCAGGAAGGTAGGCTTGGCAGCACCCAGCCCAGGGCCAGGGAACCATGTCCAGGGGAGCAGGCGCCTGCCCAAGCATTTCTCCAGAGCCACTGTCATTCGGTGACTGGACCCAAGATGGGGAAGGTGAAGCAGGAAGATGCTGACAGGGCAGAAGGGAGTGCAGGGGAAGGAGTTGGAACGTAGGAAGGGCCATCTCCATTGGGCCAGGAGGGGGGTTGCTCTCTTGGAAGTGTATCTTTTGGCAACCGGTAGACAGGTTTGCAGGCTGGTCAGTCAGCATCTTACTCTGTCCCCGAGTTTCTGCTCTGCTGGGCTCACCAGTCCAAGGGAATGACAGGTACTGGGCGTTTGTTCATACAGGAACCTTGTGCTTTTTAAAAAGTGACATTTTTGGTTTCTTTGCCAGGACAAGGGCTGGAGCTCATTTAATTCAGCATCTGTAGGACATGGTCTTCAGCCAATGGGAAGGTGTCGACTTGTTTTACAGGGTGCTTTAAGGAGGGAAAGAATGTGAAATTGTACAGTTACTGGAGGGTTTGCTGTGGGCCTCAGGTCTGTGTCTATCTTGGGTTCATCCTGGACAGGTGGACAGGGAGAGCTGAGGAGTCAGGGTGGGTGTCTGCCCTCTATTTCTGTCGCTCTTTGGGACATAGGGCTAGAGGCAGCTGTGGTTTGAGTCTTTAGGTCAGAGCTATGAAAGGTCACAGGTGCACTGATATGCTGATCCCATTAGCCTTTGGGGGTAGCCAGGTGTCTGACTACAAGAGGCCTTTTTGTTTACTCCCCTGGGCCACATGATATTGTCTCTTCTTTTAGTGTCTCGATTTGGAAATATATGGGAACACTGCTTTTAGACATGGTTATGGAAAACTTTTTCTATAAAGGGTCAGACAATAAACCTGAGGTCTTGTGAACCATTCGCTGTTGGAGCTACGCAGCTTGGCCTTTGTAGCAAACGAGCCTGGCTGTGGTCCAACAAATCCTACTCATAACACAGGCACTGGTTGCTTTTGGCTCTTACACTGTAGACACCCTTTGGTTTAATTCTGATAGGGAACTTCCTGCCCTCTGCTGGGACTTACCCAGCTTCCTACGAAGGCTTCCTGAACACCTGATCCGAGTGCGCACCGAGGACGAGGAGGGTGAGTCTTTGCCCCTGAGAATCGTAGGTTTTAGGTGAGAGGTGGGCACTGACAGCTCCAGAGAGAAGGGCCAGGCTGAGTCAGGAGATCAAACTGTCCAGTCACCAGCACGTTGGTGCAGCCTGTGAAGGACTGAGTGTTGGGCTTCATTCTGTGGGTGGTGGGGAGCCAGTTTGAAAGGTTGTGCTCAGGACCTTCAGGTGATCACACATGCACTTTTGAAACATCACTCTGGTCGTGGTTTCCAACTGTATCTTTCAGTTTAGTATGGACATTTCAGCCCAGGGTTTGGTTACTGTCAGCACCAGAGCAGGAAAGTGGCCCAGAGTTGCAGGGCGGTCCTGGCCACAGGTTTTAGTGGGCTAGAGTGCCACACTTCTCAACAGGCAGAGTTTAACAGAACCTTCCACCCGCAGGCAAATGAGACAGTCTGTCCCAGTGCTGTGGTGTGTGAACAAAAGTATCTAGGGAAGCCCATCCCTTGCTTCAGATGGAGTTATGTGGCAAGAAAGCTTAAAGCTTCAAGAAGCTGATTCGCACCCTCTGTGCATGTAGCTAGGCCTGTGACCAGCACACAGAGGATGGTGTCTGTACAAACTACTGCGGCAAGGTGCGTGTGTGCAGGTTGAAGCAGGTGCTGCTCAGGTGCATCACAGATGGCTCGAGGCCGAGGCACACCAGACATGGTGCTCACTGTAGTTGGGGTGGCAGAGAAAACCCTAAATGTATATAGTGCTCTCTACTCCTAAAGTATTCTCCCTCAGAGAGGTTTCTAGGCAAGTAAATTGAGCTGCCACCATTGCCCTTTAATGGGTACTGGAATTGCGGGGCGGGGGGGGGGGGGGCTTTGGGGGGTGCTTTATGTGCCGTGACAGGAGCTGTCATGAAAGGAGACCTAATAGCAGTGCCTACAGATACTGTTTTATTGAATCCTCAACAGGCCTGTGGCAGTAGGTGAGGAGCCTCGGAGAGGGAGGTGGCTGTGCCAGCTCCATGCAGGGCTCTCCCAGTGCAGCCTGCAGACACACTGGTCCTCTGGCCAATCAGGTACACTTGTCAGTGGGTGGCCTTCCAGGCCCTGGGAGGGTGGTAGGATGTCTGGGTAGGAAACCACTGAACACTTGGGGAACTGGATGCTCTGAGTGCAGTAATGCTTGTCATTGGGGATGTGCCTCTTGAATTTTGCTGCCTGGTCTTGTCTCTGATGGTGGGTGGGTAACTTCTCCATTCTGAGCAGCACTCCTTGTGTTTTCTAGAGGCGTTTCTGGGCTCATGGGAGAGAAAGGTGAGGCTTTCATCAGGCAGCTCAGCCTGTGCTGTGGTTCTGGAGTGTGAGGCCCACACCTCATTTTCCTGCTTAGGGAAGCAGATGGTGGTCAAAATGGTTTTTGTTGGTTTTTTTCCTGCCTAAATATTTCTGCTGTTCTGAAATGTCAGGTTTGTTTTGTTCATGGCAGTGAATTTAGGGCTATGCAGCCTCTTTCCCCCTCCTCCGGGCTGAGCACTGCTCCCATCCTCCTCGAGAACTGGGTTCCTGCTGCCATAAACACCCCTCGGACTTAGGACAAGCACTTTGGTTTGTTGGTCAGTAGCCAGACACCCTGACCCAGACATGTTCATCTCCTGGCGTGGTTGGGTTGTGTGACTCTGAGATCACCTCGCTGTGACCCACACACAGGCTATGATTTGGAATTTAGGTTCCCAAAATCTCATCTCTTCTCTCACCTGACGAGCCACCACTAGACACATCCGTTTCCCTGGCCATGAAGGCTTGCACCACAACTTAGTGTAAGGGACCACGTGGTGTGCATGGCCTGTTCCCTTGCTCAATGTGGTTGTTTCTCAGCAGGGGGCCCTGCCACGGCTCTGTGGGAGGTGGCTTAGCTACCAGTTATTACCAACTTTTCGTGGCAACAACTGGGGAGCCAAACTGCAGACATCCTCAAAGCCTCTAATCAGGGGTCCTTACTTTCTGCATCTCCCCGGAATCCAGGCTGTCTTGTGAGCTATCTCCAATCTCCAGACAGACTTCCTTTCCAGGGGCTTGAAGTGGGATCCTCCTCCCTGCCTCTATCCTTGTCTTTCTTCTAATGAGTCTTGAGCCACCTTCCTTGGCAGATTTCAGCCCTTATCAGTGTTCACTGTTTTCTCTGAACTCTGGCCTTGCATCAGGGGCATCTGTTGTTGGTCTGTTGTGAATCTTTGGTCTCTGTAAGGGGCAGGACGCTTTGAGGAAGAGTGGGGCTGGTTTTGGGCTTGGTCCAGCCTCTCAGCCTCACAGCCTACGCATCCTGGTCTGGCCTCTAAGACTTGCTTCTTGCCCACTCCATGCAGAACTCCTTGGGGAAAAGGCAGCCAGTCTAGACCTGAAGCTCTGGGCTGTTCTAGAAGAGGCTTGCTTGCCTCACAAAAGCAGTAAGGTAGCCCTGCTCAGCCCCAGGGGTGGGGGTCCTGGAGGCATGGAGAAGACTGAGCAGTTCCCCACATGACATTGGGCTCCTGGCTGTAGTTTACTCTCTCTCACTCTGGTCTGGTGGTGGCCAAGGCAATTTTAGTAATCTTATTTAAAATACCTATTTATTGTGTGTGTTTTTCTGAATACGCAAGTGTAAATAGTATAATTTGCAGTGCAAAGCCCTTGGCAATAACTTTGTTGTGTATTATGTTAAAAAACTCTGGAAATCGCGAGCACCACGGATTGTCTTTCCCCTTGGGGCAGTGGTTACATGTAGGACTCTGAACTTGAACCCTTCGGCACAGTTGAAGCAGCAGCCTGCGTGTGTGGACTGTCACCAGTGCCTCGTCCAGAGATGCCTGCCTTCATCCACGGGGACTCTGCACCCACTGACTGTGTTGGACTCTGCATAGACTGACCCTCTTGTCTGGCTGCTGCAGTCTGCCGGAATGCCCTGACATGTTGCATTTTCCCCATTTGGATGAATAAAAATAAAAGCTTCTGTCTTAAGCAGGGCCTTCTCTGGTTAAACGAAGGTGCTTTGATAAAAAGGGTCAAGTGCACAACAAATTTCCTGGCACTTAGCAGAGAGAACCATGAACAGGAAGATCTTGCCACATGGGCTGAGCCAGAGTGCTAACAGTACACAAAGTTCACACAACCTCAAACTGTAACCCAGCACTGTGAGTGGTGAGGTACGGATGCCGAATCCTAAACCTCAGCTGACCAGGTGTGTTTCACACCCCTGGCTTAATCCTCATACCTGCTCCCCAGGACTGAACGTGCCCCAGGGAGTAGAGCTTCTAAATGGCAACAGCAATCGGAAGGCAAAGCTGAAGCTCTTCCTGCTGCTGCCCCAGGTAAGCCAAGAGCTGTGTGGCGAGGCACTGGGTGTTTCTGCTTCATCTTATAAACTAAAGGCCCGCCTTCTCCCCCGGCACACCATCGGTTTGGATTTACAACCATGCTAGAACTGACGGGCCAGACCCCTGTTCCCAGACTTTCTTGCTCTTGGGCCCTGAAAGATGGAGGTGACGGTACCTGGTAGAAATCCCAGCCTTTCACCTTTACTGTCAAATCTGCGAATAACATTACTTAACTCGGCAAAGCTTAACAGGAGTTCGGTAACCCCCAGGAGACGGGCATTGAGCCCACTGCAGAGATAAGGAAAAGTTCAGTGAGGTATGCTATCTGGAGTGAAGTGCTCAGAGCTTATACCCCTGCTGCCCACTGGGAGTTAGTGAGTGCACATCCTAGCCATGCTGCCTGGGCCAGGAACCTTTAAGGGCCCAATGTCTTCCTGACTCCTGCCCTTCCCCCTGGCATATCTCTGACCAAACGAAGCATTATAATCCACACATCCATTACACAGATGACCATACAGGGTCCCAGAGGCCAAGCCACTCCCCTGGGCCCCATGTCCTCTCTGTGCAGACTCCGGTTTTCACCTCTGTTGGGGTAGTTCAGAGTTGGGAGTGGATTTTTCTCTCCTTCACCAAACCCTCTCTGCTCACTTGTGCCACTGGGACGTGGGCAGAATTCAGAGTGGATAGGGCAGCAGTACTCCTGGGAGACTAAGGCAAATGCCGCCTATCTTTCATTCTGAGCTGCCCCTCCCTCCCCCACGAGTTATTAACAAGGCTCCAGATCCGCTCAGCAGGGCCCACTAGATGTCCACTCAGCCTGTCATGTATTTTCACTTACCTTGTGAGCAGTCCCAAGGTCACCGTCAAGGAAGAACCATGGTCACAGAACCAGGATCTGAGTTGACTAGCATGAAGCCTTATGGTCTTCCTACCACAGTTCCCTGCAACCACCACCTTTCCCCCACTTCCCTTCACAGCCGGGCTTAAAATCCACACTTCCTTCTCTGCTCCCTCCACCCCACCCCACCCTAAGCATCAGTGACTCCCCAGTCATCCAATCCAATCGGCCTTTCCGGTCCTGCCATCACTCCCAGGTAGAGCTTGCTAGTTCTTAAGGCCCAAAGCTGTGTCCCTGCTCCATGTCCTTTCTCTTCCCCCCTGACCCTAATCCTGCCCTTGCTTAACTGGAACATCCCCTGGGCACTCGCTGCCTTCCTAGCTTCACCTTACATGCCAGAACAAGATTCTCAACGCATTTGGCAGTATCTGGAGACATTTTGGTTATGACAGCTGGTGGTGGTAGGGTGTGCTATTGGTATCTAGTGAGCAGAGGCCAGGGATGCTGCTAACCTTCCTGTGACGCACAGAACAGCCCCACAACAAAGAACTGCCAACAGCCTCTGCTGTGGTGGCACCGCCCACACAGTTCCTGGTGTGTCAATTCTGGACATCTCCAACTTGTATTTCCCAGGTGAGCGCCAATCCATACATTAAAAGCTCAATTTATCTTCCTGGTGTTTCCTCCCCTTTTTCTCACCAAGTTTTGACTTTCCGGGCTTCTCTATCACCTATCTTCAGACTAAATTTCTTTAAAAAGCAGGGATGGGGAACATCTGGCCCGCAGTCTGTACAAGGCCCATGAAATCATTTGGTCTGGCCCTGCCAAGGCATTAGGGCAGTGATGGCGAACCTATGACACGCGTGTCAGAGGTGACACGTGAACTCATTTTTTTGGTTGATTTTTGTTAAATGGCATTTAAATATATAAAATAAATATCAAAAATGTAAGTCTTTGTTTTACTATGGTTGCAAATATCAAAAAATTTCTATATGTGACACGGCACCAGAGTTAAGTTAGGGTTTTTCAAAATGCTGACACGCCGAGCTCAAAAGGTTCGCCATCACTGCATTAGGGATTAATCAAATGTCTGACCAAATATAGCAGGCCAATTTTTAAGTTGTAATTTTCTATGGCCCTCAAATGATGTTATAAATATTCAAATGGCCCTTGGCAGAAAGATGTTCCCACCCCTGTCTAAAATTGTTAAAGGAAGTTGGCTTAGAACTCTCCAGTAATTATCCTTCTAACACCTTGGCCTGGACCTACCTGCTGGCCCAGCCTCACCTCCCATCATGCTGCCTTCATCAGACCACAGTGCTCAACACTGTCTTCCTGCTCCAGAGTCCAGCACTTCCCCTCGCTGTCAGTGCAGTAAAATCTCCTTGCCAATGCATATACCCTCCCTGTTCTTACAGGATCCCATATACCTGCTACAGCACTTAGTATACAGGTGCAGGTGCAATTACTCATCCTGGGTCTCACGTAACTAGGGGACCTCCCGGAAGAGGACTCCTTCTGAGGCACGTTAGGCCTCTGTGCTGAGGCGGACTGGTGTTTGGACTCCTTTGTCTGGGCCAGGGCATAGCTGCAGAGGTGAGGATTGCTACTGAATCCCTAATTCCTGGTTACTGAGACCCTTGGGAGTGGAAAAGCCTAGAAAAGGCTGTCCTGGATTCTTGCCCAGGGTGGCCAGGAGTGTGGATGTCAGAAATACACCCGCCAGCCTGTGAGAGGCAAAGGGAAAGAAGCCACTATGCTCTGGAGGCCCTGCCATGGCCCTCGCCCAGCTTCAGGGGGGCTCACTCACCACCTTCCCTTCTTTGTGGCCTGCATCTCAACCCACTTCCTCCAAAGCCTGGGTGTAGTAGCTGAGGTCCTGGAGGGCAGGCAGGCGACGCAGAGAGGGGAGCACTGTTCTTCTTCCTGCTGCAGAGAAGGGGTGGGGTGGTAAGGACGGCAGGGTATGGGAGCCTCATCCCCTGGTGTGGGGTGGCTCCCAGTGAACAGAAAGCAACTTTTTCAAGCTGGCTGTCCATGCCACCACTTCTGAGTTCCAGCAGAGCAGACCTGGACCCCAGGTAATCTGCCTACCTTTCTGCTCTTCAGCTGTTTCTCCAGCACAATCACATTCTGGGCGGGAATTCACTCTTCCATCTCAGCCGGGTGAGATGCTTTTGTCTTTTAAGGCTTAATTACACGCTTATGATTTCCCTAAACCTCAAACACACAAATAGTGCCTCGCCTATTTCTCAGAGGGGCAATGCTCACGATGAAGACGAAGCCTGTGTCTTCTCACCCCATAGGCCTGGCACCTCAGCCGCTTACAAAGGGTCTGAATGGAGGTGGCTGCGGCTCACACACCTCTGATAGTGGGGGTTGGGGAGATGCTGCACATGATAAAACTGGTTTTTACAAAGCAATGCTGTTTGTACCAAAATATTTAATGAATATGCTGTTAAAATAAAACCAACGGAAGAAATAGTAATACAATTTTACTGGTTTATATTTCAATTCATAAAGTTAACACACTAAGACTACCCTAACACAATGTCCACGCACCTAGATTTAGACGGGCTTACAGCTGTTTTGGTAACTGAACAAGAAAGACACAAAGTGGTGGGGGAAGGTGGGAGGAGGGCTTGCCACTTGTTACCTCCACGTTAACACAGATGACCTCAGCAAGCGTCAGTACAGCCAATGGGAAAAGATACAAAACAACCCAAGTGTCTACATACAAACCAGCGCCTCTTGTAACCAGCTTCCTCCAACCACGCAGAGACGGCGACGAACCATCTGCAAGACAGCCTGCCGGCACATCACTATAGAAGTTAAAAGTCTGTGTTTGTTTGTTTAAAAAAAGGTGCTAAAACCTCCATTCCATAGTTTTGGAGCGAGAACTTGCAGCCCATTTAAACAGCGAGGTTTGCACCCAGCCACACTCCAGGGGAGGACACGGGCCAGCAGGATGGGGCCTGGGCGTCCCACATGTACATTTACACAGACACACACAGAGCTCAGTGTCCTCCTCACTTACACAATCTGTTGTGCAAAACACCTGGAATCTCGAAGTGAGGGAGCTTGTCACAACTCTCAGAACGGCAGGGAGGAGAGCAGAACCCAACAGACCTTAGTGAAATTAAGTGCCCACATAACCACATAATTAAGTTGTGCAGATCAGTCCTAGTCTGGGATTTAAACACTGTCATTTGGGGGCATTGGGAAAAGATATTTTTATATATATATACATATACACACATGACACATTGAGCAAAATAAGATTTGTCCACATTATGATTATTCAGTCTCATGGTCACCCACCCCAGCCCTGTGAAGTCATTTTGGCAGCTAACACTAAAAAACAACAGGAACCATGAGAGTTGCATAGAATTGATCTGAAACGTGAAAAATGCCAAACCAAAACCTGTGCATCATATAGTTTAACAAAACTAGACTGCTTCACTGCACCCATGAAACCCTCCTCTTTAAAACAAAGTGCTTCTCCATTACCCAGAGGACCCTCTGCTGGCACTGACGCAGGTAAGAATTACTGGAGTTCCTGATCCTCTGCCCCACCCCACCCAGCCACAGTATATATAACGTGTATTAAAAAAAAATTAAAGATTTAGAAAAAAAACCAACAGCCTGAAAGGGTTCCCCCAACTCTGATCATGTCAGCTCAGCCTGTGGGCTGGGTGAGCCTGGGAGTCGCCTGGGAGTGATTTCCTAGAGCGTCCAGAGCAGCCGCTGGGCTGGCAGGCCTGTTAGTGTCAGTAGTTAGGAGAGCCTTACCCCAGAGGCGCCTGCTTCAGGAGCTCTGGGCCAATGACCTACCAATATGCTTCTAGGAATCTGACTTAGGTACATCTGGTCCTGGGACATGTCACAGAATCACACATCTGGCCAAAGAAGGCAACAAAAGGTGTTGTGTTTTCTGACGGTGTCTGGAGGCCGCAGCTGCTCTCAGCAAGTCTCTTTCCCTTGAACGCCAGTTGCTGTCTTTATGGAGCTCAGTGTTCGGTTAAACCACGTCTTCTTGGCTGCTTGTACCTCATTTAGGGCAAGGCCCAAATGGTGCTCCAAGTCCTGCAAGAGGAAGACTGCATGAGGATGCTGGCTCCAGTGCCAAAGACGCTGCCTCCCCAAGAGCTGAGCCAGGACAGGAATTCAGTCTATTTATTTTTGAGAGGCCTCTGGAAATTCCCCCGTCTCAAACTGACATGGAAAGAGCTGGAATGCCTAAAGCTGTTAAGCCCTCCTTGTTTCTTGCCTAGTTTATTAACACTGCCTCCTAAACAAACACCTCCCTCCCTTGACCACCGCTGCACATCAGGCACACAGAGCTCATGCCCGGGTAAGGCTGCATCATGGACTTGCAGAAAGAACCTTAAAGTCTACACTCCTGAGCAAGGCACTTGAGACGTCGGTCTGGGCCAACACGCAGGCTGTTTCAGATCAGCACCCACATCCACCCCTACCTCCTGGGGCTCCTTGCTGGGCAAGCCCACACCTCCCTGTGCTGCTCCCTCCCCCAGGAATGCCTAATCTTCTTTCTCTTCTGTAGCTGCAACCTGTCCAATTCTTGGATCACAGCTCAGATACTGCTTGCCTGTCCTGGGCAGTCCTATGAGCCATGTCTTAGCTTTGCCGCCCCAGCATCGAGAACAGGGCCTGGCGAAGAGCAGGTACCCAGTGAATGTATGAGATGCGGGAGGCCCAGCCTAAGCTTGGTTCCTTGTGCTCAGCACTGGTGCTGACAGAACTAGCCAGACAGTATAAAGAGGACCAAGATCAGCCCCAATCCCTTCACCAGGAATGAAGGCTCGGATAAATTAGGTAACATGTCCAAAGTCACCAAGCTAGCTAGGTGATGGGAGCTGGGACATAAGAGCCGGCATTTATGAAGCCCACACACACTGTGTAAACCCTTTCTATGCATTACCTCCTTGTCCTCACTCATCATCTCCACTTGCAGATGAGGAGACTGGAATGTAGAGAGGTTACAACTCAAGGTCGAAGACTCTGATAGTACAGCTGTGACTTGAAAGCACGTATTCTCTGCTCCACCAAGAAGCTCCCAAGCTTGATAATTATCATTATGAAAAAGGTCAATGCTTAGGACAGGCCATGTCAACATCCACTGGTAAATAACACGTAACAGGCTTCTTCCCGTGAGCATCATAGTTAAAGTTGACAAGAGAAAAGAGCCCCAACCCCTAAAGGTCATGCTGGCGTTTCCCACACCAGGACCCCTCTGGCCGGTCCGAGTCTCATGGCAGCAAGAGAAGAGGCAGCGCTTTGGTCCCAGGGCGGGGGAGGGGGGGCGCTGTTACCTGTATCTTACACTCGGCCTCCACCAGTTGCAGCTTGGTCTGGGCCAGCTCCAGTTCCATCTCTCGCAGCTGGTTCTTGAGCGTCTCCTTCTCCTCATCTGTGTCCTCATCTAAAGCTTCCTTAGCTGCGCTGACGCCCTTTATGCGCCCTTCTTTGTTGAAAAGCTCTCGGCAGCGCTCACAGTCATCTACTTTTTGCTAAAATTGAATGTCAGATGTAAAGAGACAAGAAGAGAACTGGTCGTTTAGAAGGTGTGAGCATCACCCTCCTGGAGCCAAGAGGTGGCTTCTCAGTGGGCACCACAGCTTCTGAAAATCTGCCCCCTGTAACCAGGTAGACGGCCTATGGGAAAACCACCTGGCGCTATGCACTGAAAGCAGTGAAAACAGTCTGATGTCGTGATCCAGTCAGTAATCATATCTAAGAACCTTGGCTAAAAAATGCAGCAGTGACTAGATACGATTTATGTACAAGGATTTTCACTGCAGAATGAGAGATAAGCTACCCAACACCTGGGAGAAATTCAATACACTGGGCTGTATTTATATAGGAAGTATGCAGCCTCTAAGTTTCTGAGGAATTTTTCATAACATGGTAAAATGGTACACAAAAAATGTATCTATAGTATGGTTAAAATATATACCAGAGTTCATCAAAATAAGATGCCACTGACTGTAAGAAACATCATCTTATGTTCTTCTAAGAAAACATTCTGCCAACTAAACCAAAACCTGCCCCAATTTCAGAGATGTGAGTGTGAATGCATATCTTAGAATGAATGAAATTGTGTATGTTAAACAGAACAAAGACTGAAAGCATATACAACCAAGTGTGCACGATGGTGATGTTGTCTGTGGATAACAAGATTGTAGGGGTTGACCAGCAGGTGTGGCTCAGTGCCTGAGCATCGACCAATGAACCAGGAGGTGATGGTTCAATTCCCAGTTGAGGCACATGCCTGGGTTGCGGGCTCAATCCCCAGTATGAGGCATGCAGGAGGCAGCTGATCAATGATTCTCTTTCATCACTGATGTTTCTCTCTCTCTCTCTCTCGCCCTCTCCCTTTCTCTCTGAAATCAATAAAAATGTATTTTAAAAAAAGATTGTAAGAGATTTTTTTCTTATATACTCTTCCAAATTTTCTGCAATGAGTTTTATTAGTTCTGGAATCAGACAATAAATTATATTTACAAAATAGCTACTGCTGGTTAAACACTTCTTGTGGGGGCTGGGCATCATCTTGCTCCAGTAGAATGTTCTAAGCAAACATGGTCATGAGCACAGAACTCTCTATTTTCCTCTCCACTCAAGCGTAAGTATGTGAGGAAAGCATCTTTCAGTAAATGACTCATCTTAGTAAAATTTGGTAAGTATTCTTATACAGGTACAGCTTAAAGAAAGAAGCATCGTTACAAAAGCTCCCAAATTGGCAACAACTACACTTTAAAATGTCAAGTCGTCGTCGTGGCACGTGGATCATTGTGACAGCAGAAGGAAGTGTCCACGCAGGTGGGAGGGACAGGTCACACCGCAGTCCTGGCCTCCAGGCCCCAGTGCTGCGCAGCATGCACTGCCCACGTGGCAGCACCCGGAATCTAGAGCCGCCTGTTTTGCTTACAAACTCCCCGGAGGAGATGTTGTACACATTTATAAGGACAAGGACCTTGGATTTTGAAATCTAAAGCCAGAGCTCCTTGGGTGTCATCTGTATTCCCCTCCAGAGGACACAAGCACAGGATCAGCTGTCAATTACTGAGTCAGGCTGTGGTATTTGTCAGCTTCTCTCACTTCTGAAATCAAAGTACCGCCCTTACTCAAAATCCGCACTGCTGGTTACAGCCATAAACTGAGCTAGGTGCTATAAAATTTCTTTGATAAAGGAAGACTTACCCGAATTTTCTCAATTTCCACTTTATTAGCTGTCTGCTGCTTCTCCAATCTTTCACTCAACTGAGAACAAATCTAAAGGAACAGACATAACATCAAATGAAAATCTCTTGAGCAACACCATCAGCTGCATACTCTGGGCTGGGTCCACGCTCAGCAGCAGATCCTCTGCATCCATCAGCCTGGGACTCGCAGGCCCCTATCAGCACCACACTCGATGGCCACCATTTCTGCACCATGAAACACACATGCACAGAAGGTGCAACCTGCACCTGAAATGCTCCCAGGAACACAGTGTGGCTTCACTTCTAAGTGCCCACATGCATGCTGGGCACTCACTATGCCTGGTGCTCTACCCACACACTGAGATCGCAACTCTTTCCCTTACTCTGCAGTTGACCAGCGAGGCAACGTGGCCGGGCATGAAGTGCCTGGTCAGAGCCGGAAGCTCTTGGGTGAGGAGGGGACACAGCCCAATCCCCTGGTGCGTGGACCCACCTGCTTGTAGTCACCGATGATAGAACTGTTTTTTTTAATCTCAGATTCTGCCTTGTCGAGTTCCCGCCGACACATTTCTTTTAGCTGCGTACATTGAAGAGGCAGAAGTGAGTGTTTTAAGGGAAATATAAAGGGCTTCCCACAAAGTCCAGACCTGACTCTGCAAGGGCCC